GCGTGAGGAGCCGTGGGCGGGAAGACTGATTATTCCCGACCCCCGGTTTGTCGGTTTTTCTTTCGTCTGGACATATCGGAACGAATTACGAGGAAGGATGCTGCCTTCAAAATGGATGACATCAATTATTCTCTTCTAACATCCACCGTTGACAAAGTCTATTGGCCACCGTATGTTGCGGATCGCCTTTCATTGGAAACACATTTGTATTTGCGTTGTTTTTCTTTCAAAGTAGTACAGTAACTCATAAACATCGATAAACCATTCAACATATTGTATTCCTCCACAGAGTGAGAAAAAAAACACGAAACCCAAATGTCGGGACCATTGTTTTAGTGAAGTTCTGTATGTAGCACTTTCAAAATCTATAGGATATGAAAGCCCAATTTATAAGCTTTCTTTTAATACAAGAATAATTCGAATCAGTTATGGAGTTTTTAGGTTACGGAGTTTTAAAGACAACCACCGTTTTGAAGTTCTGTCCACGGATCACAAAAAGGTAGTGTTCTTTCAGCAAAACGTAAACAAATCTCATAGGGATGTGTGTGAGTTGTTTTCGTTTTGCTGAAAGAACGCACACCTTTTTGTGATCCGTGGACAGAACTTTAAAACGGTGGGTATGTTTAAAATTCCGTAACTTGAAATTTACATAAGTGATTTGAGTGATTCTTGTACTAAAAGAAAGCTTATGAAATTGGCTTTTATATCCTGGATTTTGAAAGTGCTACATGCAGAACTTCACTAAAGCAATAGTCCCGACATTTGGGTTTCGTTTTTTTTTACTCACCCTATAGCGAATATCCAAAGCAGAAAGAGAAAACATCCACAGCATGCATCCTGAGCACAGGATCCGAATCAATAAAATTATTACACGGTTCACATCTCGCCTGGAAAATTAAACATAATCAAATTGTACAGTCCAATGCAAGGGCAGTGTTTGCGCTGCGGACGCGCAAATATTCCTTTAAAACATACTCTCGGAGTACACCTCAAGAGGTTTGTCAAACCGCGCCGAAGTGGAGTTTTGTAAGAACGGCGCAGGTCGATTTTTTTGGGGGAATAGGCCCTAGTTTATTTGTTGGCAGTGTGCTTGTGCGTAATAATTTTGGACTGTAAAAGCTTCTTTCTGTACCCAGAAGTCACGGTATACGATCTGAGATGAGTTGGCAGAAAGCCGTGTCGAGCATTTTGTATTGCGAGAAAGGAATTTCATCCATCTATTATCTGTTTGGGCACGACTCGTGTATCAAATTCAGATTCTTTAGAAACTCTTCGGGTCTCCATGAAAAATGACTATATATATATCATTTCATGTAGAGACAGATTTTTTTTTTTTAATCTGATCTGGTGATTTGATACTTGGTGGTGGATTCTACGATTATTCAATCATTGCATTTGATTTTTTAGTCTCCCAGGGAAGATTGTTTTTGTTCACAAAAAAATGGTAAGATTAAATTGCTTGTGGAGAAAGATAAAAAAAAAATATTACACACATGCGGAACGTACGTCACTGAAGGCTTAAACAGATTTTAGACCGAGCCGGGTCAAATTAAGAATATGCAACAAAACGAAAGAGGACTGGCAGAAATAGAAAGAATGATGGGTAGGCTAAAGACGCGGATAACAAGATCGACAGGACAGCTGAAGTTCGCGGAAGTTATGGGCAGGAAACGAAAACGATAAACCATATTTCTTCGGTGTATTGTTTTGATCTCATGTAAAATAAGCTTAGTCGCACGTCATCCGGGTATAGCTTAAAGTCTTGGTCAGCTTTAACTTATTCTTTCCAACTGACGACTTGAATATTATTATTTTCTGCAACGCCAAAATTAAAGATCCCAAATGACCGTGCCATTGAAGGCGTATAAGTTTCAAATACATTATGTTTCAGGGGATTATCAAGGTGAAAGAAGACACATTGTTCGACAATATCCCACCCACTCCCTCTCTGGCGGGCAAATTCAGCTACGCCACCACATCAGTCAAAATCAATCAAATGGTTGTTTTTAACAGTAAAGAATTCCCTTCTCAATTTGATATCCATGCTTTTGACTGGAGGTAATTATGGCAGTTGTGCCTCCAGTTATCTCCTGTGTCTGTTGATGGAATTCGACTGTCACATTGTTTACAAGAAAGTGATTCCACTGTTTTCTTACTAAACTCTATTCAAATGCATGGCAGAAGAAGTGGAAGAAATGGTTGACTGTCTGTGACTGATTAAACAATAGGAGGCTTTTAATACATGACAAGGATCAATATGACAATATGAACGTGATGACAATAGAGTTAGGAGAATTGCAAATGTGTACTTTACTCCTGCTCCACTCTAGTTTTGACTTCTCAATAATGAGTTTAGTCCATCATTTTTTGAGGCACTTTAACTTCCAGCAACAAATTGCACACGGTTTATATTATACAGTAGACAATTCAACACACGGCCTTCATTATTCTGTGTCAACATCAGGGATAGAGTCTACAGATCTTTCGATTATTGTTCATCTCCCACGGATATTGAAATCCGTGTACTGTGAAATGAGCACACAGCAGAAGATGCCTTGCTTTGTTTTATTTCACCGACTGACTGATTATGGAGTCTGCACCACGCGTGGCCGGGCCGGCCAGGCCAGGCCAGGCCGCATGGTGTTTGCCTACCTGCCGGTAATACTCTTCACGGTATAAATATTCAAGTCTTCCGTCGCGGGAGGACATTGATCAACACACATCTGCCGCGCGCTGCTGGTGCGATGTTCAGCTATGCCGCACGCCAATTTACCTTCTGTAACGAAGTATAGTCCCTACCGTAATACGCATGCGTGAAACATATCACGTGATTGAAATAATATACCACATCATGATAGGAGATGACTTTACAGGAATCTGATTCGTGGTACACCGTGGCCTAGTGGACAGGTGTTTTGTTTATAACTTCGAATCCTAACGGTTTATATTTTCTTCTCAGTTTCCCCAACATACTTGAATTTTCTTTCTTTATTGTTTAATATATGTCATAATTCCAATTAAATAAGTGTAATTTATTATGTCTAATTCAGGTGCTGGACGATTTTTTTTTTTTATAGAGAAGAACCAGTCCGGTACAAATGACGAATGCGCATTATGATCAGTGGTTATACTTGGTTGTAGACAAAAAAAAAACCACACACCACCAACTGCGTCTGTGCACGGCTACCGTATCCAGAGACCTCTAGAAATGGTACGCGTGAGGGACACATTTTATGCAGCTCGACTATCGGGAAAGCTGCTTCGGTATATGCACAATACGGGCAATGTGCCCTTCGCATCAAAATGAGGAGATGTATACACCATGTGGGTTGAAATGTAATAACCACACATAATGGTGGTCTAACCAGCTACAGGCATGTATATAGTTTTTCGGGCCACATACGTATCCAGTACGCGTAACATTTCTAATGATCCATAATGTAGTTTATCCGGCCGGGCACGCGTACTCCTTACCAATCTTTGAGGTAATTGGTATTCCAATGGTATTCCGAGCCACAAAAGGGTTCAATTTCTCAAGATAGCATAGACTTGTTAATTTGCCACATTGCAGGCATGTCTGTACGGAAAAGTCGGTTTTCAGTGCAAAATGAGCATTATGAGACATGCACTGTATGATTACTAGAGCTATCCGTTTCCGGTAGACCGCGCATTCCTCAAGATGAATGCATCACTAATAACGGTTAGTATGTCGGGGTTCACAATGTTTGGTCATTCGCCTTCAGTAACTTTTCGATTCCTGGCGCATGGATGAAATGAGTACGGGTTGCTTTTCACAGAGCTGTTAATCATGTAAGCCCTACATGTAGTTAAAAGTCGGTAAGTATTTATTAATATTCTGCTTTCAGAGCTGAGCAAAAATCAGGTTACCAGGGAAAATGTGAAAGTTTTGTTTTACTTAAAACTGGTTCCCTGCAGCCGTTGATGTGTGTATAGGTGAATGTGCCATAACGCACTGTCTCCGGCTTACTGCAGCTGCACGAAAATGGACATAAATATCTAATTAACTTGTTTGTTATACATGTATTTGTATGTCTGTTGGCTTTCGCTATTTATCAGTTCTTTGCCAATTTTTAACGAGGACACCAGCCGCGTGACGTTCACAGTTATCCAGGCGAATTTGGGTGAATTCTTGATAAATTATGTTTGCCAATCTCCTTCGTTATGCTAACTTCTCACGTTGAAATGAAAAAAAAAATCCACGTACACCAGTTTGTTTTTTGTAAAGTCTTGCATTGATTTACAAACTACCACATTCACCGTCCTCAGCTGATAAACGTGCCCGTGTCAAATTTGCTGTCGATAACATCATCAATATTGTATACATAATTATAAATTATTTGCCATTTTTAAGGTCCTTTCGAAGGACAAATATTATTTTGCTTCGTGGGAAGGAACGGCAACGACGTGAGGCCCGTAATGAACCATGCCATTAGGTCCAAGCTGTGAACACAAGAAACTACACTTTTATCCCACGAAATCCCAACTAAGACTAGCCAGTAAGTTGGTTAAACATTAACACTAATTATTGTCCTCTTAAAGTCATACCACCCGTATCGGTATACACGCGTTGAGGCTGGTACAAGCCGCAACAACGTCTCCGACTCCCGTCTTCTTTGTTTCTTAGTGCTCTGAAACTATTGTCCGCATGCTTTAAAATGTGTTTGCTACCACCAAGAGTTTTATATGTCTCCAACCCATTTGTCTTTATTCATTACGGGCGTTATCTTTATACATCTATCGAAACAAAGTATCAAAATTAATGACAGCTCCGAAACTACAAAGAATCAGCAATCCTTTGTCTTTTCACACGCAAACGTTACTTCGACAAACAACAAACTCTGCCAAAGTTATACATTTGTTGTTTTAAATTTCCCGTCTCCTAACAAAGGAATTAAAGTAATAACTATGCTGATCTAGAAAAACAGGGATGTTTAATCTTGTTGCAGATTGTTCGAACGAAAAAAATTAAGCCAACTTACCTCTAGACATTATTTTCACAAGCGCGTTCTGATCCACCCCGCATCACCAAAAGTCAACACTTTAACAACCGGCCACCGCTATTCGCTGAACCGAACTGAGGAACAAATCCATCAGTTTGTGAGAGAGGATATGGGAAGTAGAAAAAAAAAAATATTACTGACAGGCTATTCAAGAGGGTCCTTCTGAAGGGATTAGTTCCCGGGCCCGCTCCTCGAAAAGACACGGCGCTGAACACACAGCCGGTTTGGGTTGGATGAAAACGACCGAAAGCCTTGAATGCAGCAGTCGGCAGATAAACAGAATGCAGAGAACTAGAGGAAAGCCGCCTACTGCGTCTTGCGAGAAACCAACTGCCGGCGGATTTATCTCCTAAGCCTAGCCATGGCCTCCAATAGTCGCGGACATGAACTTGCGGCAAGGTGGGGCTGCTCAGTGAAAGAGTAACTCTTGCTGTATTATTATCTGGTGCGACGACAGGACTGTACTGCCGTCCAATTTAGTTGGTGTCTTTTCCCCATCACTGCGTAATCTCAGTTGAAGCTCGCGTATACCATTACCAGGTTATATTGTGCTTGTACGTGTATGTACATGTACGTGCATTGCATGTACGCTTAACGTGTAGGCACAGAGCGACAGGAGAAGCGTCGTGTCGGTCTGAAACTGCGTGCGCTGCATAGTGGCGACGCGGTGATGGGCGGAACACTTGTTGCGGCCGCTAATGACGACAGATGGACCATGCTATCAACTATACGCGCATTAATTCAACCTGCCAGAGAGTTCTATCGAATTTGTGATTTGAACCACTTCAGATGAGGCGTGGGCGGACTATTGATTATTGTATCACCGAAAGCACTGATGATAATGATGCAACCGCTTTATACTAAATAATCTACTGAACTTACTAAAGCTGCATTCCCGTGCTATTTTCGAGTTTCATGCCGGAAACAGATTCCTTTTCTAAATCGCTATTTTTCTAGCAATCCAAAAGTTATTCACTTTTGAATGAGACATCGACCTAAAAATATTGTGCAAGGTAGATGCGTGTAGACTTTTTTTGTACAGTGTAGATGCGTGCAGATTTTTTTGTGTGTGTGCAGGGTAGATGCATGTAGACTTTGTTTCTTCTACAAGGTTGATGCGTGTAGACCTTTTTCTGTACAGTGTAGATTGCATGTACACTTTTTTTGTGCAGAGTAGATGCATGTGTAGATTTCTTTGCACAGTGTAGATGCATGTAGGCTTTTTTGCACAGTGTAGATGCATGTAGACTTTTTTGTGCAGAGTAGATGCCTGTAGACGTTTTTCTGTACAGCGTAGATGCATGTAGACGTCGTTTTTCTGTACAGTGTAGATACCTGTAGACTTTTTAAAAACTGTTTGGCGCACGGCATAATTATGTTTTTTTCCCCTGTAATTATAGGCTATCATCTCTGTACGCAAAGGGTTACTACGTAGACATGGGAATTGTGTGCAGCGTTTTTTATTATTTTTTGTCTGATGAGGGCCCCTGATGTGTATGTAGCTACACACATACCAGCCCAATTTTTTGGTCCCATATGTTGCCGCAAATGGACTATTTAAAGGGGTTATCATCTTCGGATGGAAATTTCTCCCAAAAGTCATCAGATTACCCAAAAAAAATTGAAAAGAAAATGAAGATGATGAAATAAGCCTTACTTTGATGTGTGTCTCTAACACCTTGGAGAGTTGTGAGTATTTGTCCTGAATTTCTGAAGTGGGAGCATTTATCATTGTGGTCTATGGTAGTTTATTTACTGGTCTGCACCCATAGGGGGACCGAAAGACAGAAAATTGGACATGATAAAGAATTGCGGATGATGACTTGTAATGTCTTACCCCCCCCCCCCCATCCTGACTGAATTCTGGATCCGTCTTTGAACTAAAATAAAACAGACTGACTAATCAGCAGACTGACTCGCACACAAACCGACCAATTGATTAATTAATTGAAATACAAATTAGAAGTTTCTGTTTGGTATGTCAACAGCCCTGTCGTCCGTGCGAGAATCTTAAAGAACAAAATGTGATTTTGTTTTCGTCAACTGTCTTTAAAATAGTTGAGGGGAAAAGGGGGCTCATTGTTTTGCCCTACAGAGCATGCAGACCTAGAAACCTGCCCGGGCTACTAACGATTCAAAACACTGACCCCAGGGCACCATCGCAATCACCGTCAAGCCTAAAGCCTCCGAAAACAAATATTCACACTGATCGATTTCGCTCCCAAGAATGGTAAACGAGGAGTTTGCAATCTCCCCGGACGCACTCTTGTGCAAAAATTTTAATATCTTACCCGATTTCCATGGTGACGATTTGTTGAAAGGCTTTATTTACAATTCGAAGATCACGTTACTATTCAGGAAGCATAGGGAATAGGGAGTCCCTCCGTATGCAAACACGAGAATTTCTGCCGTTGTCTGATGAGGGATGAACAAGATCCGTGCGGAAAAGCATCAACTGAATAACCAAACACGGGCCGTGCACACGGCCATACAATCGTGTGTGCCTTTTACTCTCTTTTTTTACCCGCAAAATAAAAACCATTTTCTTTTTTAATTTCACAGTCGATTGGTTACGGCAGAAGTCTTAGTCTCGTCCCACCGTTGGCTGTACATTGCACGAATTCAACTCCAAGGACGAATATCTTAAATCGGAATAAATTTGATTGTGATCGTGTTTTATTTGTATTTCGCGTATTTTTGGCAGTTATTCTTTAAGTTATTTATATGTAAATGTTTTATCGTTCAATGCGGAGTTTTAATGCATGTTTTACACCGTCACGAATTTGATTATATCTAAATTCTACGTAGTTGTTTTGGTAGGGTGTCTTTGATCTTACTCGTTAATGTTTTGACTTGTACTTCTCAATACATGTTTTTTATTCGTCCTTTGGTGCCACATTTGCCAGTTTGACAACACTTTTTAATGCATCGAGATGGCATTTTACCCTTTTAGTGCCAAGCAAGGAATGGTGTGCATGATTATCGGTGGAAACTTGTTAAAAAAACCCAAAACAACAACAACAATGGGTAGAAACCGTCTGATAATTTTCGCGATTACACGATTGATCTCGCCCAAAAATATACCAATGCGCCAATTATGATTTTGTCCGTGTTTCGGAGAGCAGTAAAGGGTATGGTAATTTTGCGCAGGGTTTGGGAAAAACTGGGGACAGAGCTTTTACTGCTATTTTTTTCCGAAAAGTGACTCATGTTTTAGGCTTCTGGGAAAGCGTGGGATTTATATGGTGAGTCCTGGTCCGTAATAACACCTTGTAACTCCTTGTAACCATGTCATACACAACAGCCGCTTAAAGGCTGCGTATCATGTGTGTTGAACACTGCGATCCTTCCAAATTGAGAAGAAAAAAAACCCACCAGAGGTCTAAATCTCCCCTTCCGCCACTGGATACAAATCTCCGCAAATCATTGCTTTATTGGCCTATAACAGTAAGGTTTTATTCGTACCTATATCCAACCGTCGTAGCCTGCACGCGCCAGAATTCTATCCAGAAGTGGGGGGGGGGGGGATTCCGGACAGCAAATTTGCCGACCGACCACCGCAAAATAAAAAAAGTTGGGAGGGGAGGGAGGGGGGGGGGAAACTACAGGGACTTCTCCTTATTTTTACATTTTTTTTCTTTCCAGAGGGAGGGGTAGATGCTCCCCCTTGGCCCACCTCGCCTCGCGACGCCCATATTCACGCAAATGCAGAGCGACTTACACCCGTGGCTTGAATTGAAACCACACCTTTTCCGTCGAATTTCCAACTGAAAGTGTCATGACGTCGGGAGTCGGTTCCCCGACTCCCATATCTCTTACATTTTTAATGAGAGACGACACCATGGCATTTCCAGTTTTGAATTTAATAATTTTTTATCTATCTATCCATCCATCTATCTATATATCCCCTCATCGAACCGAGGTCGAATTTAATTGGTAAAACGTGTTACAAAACCTACGAATCTTTTTTTGCATATAGCCTCCATCGGTGTATAAGGATCCAACAAATTCTGTAATCTGTGCGGAGATCTGCTGATACATACGACAAAATATCACAGAAACGATGTCGTAAAACACCAATAGGTCTATCTTTAAAACAGCAGACTTACAGTATCCTCTTGAGATATAAAAATGGCACCGCGTGCTTCGACGAGCCATTTTCTTTGGGTGAGATAATGAATAAATTCTCACCGCGCTGCGACTTCAAACGATGTCAGCTCTTTGTCCATAGGGGGCGTGCAACAGATCTGCGCGCGTAAACAAGATTTGCAGTGGGCCTGGTCAGGGAATTGGAGATTGCAATCCAATAACATAAACCGCTAGCCTAAGCATGCGGCGCAGAACTGGATGCACGGGGTGTCCATTTCGTATCGTATTCTCGCTGTTTCCCTCCTGGTTGCATGTAGCCAGTACATCAGGGGCAACTTGGGGAAACCTTAGACGTTCAAACAACACTTTCCCGCGATATTCTCTGACGCGCTGATTTGTGTGTGTGTGTGGAGATTTTGTCACCAGGGACTAACAAAAAGGGCTCTGACACAAAACTTGCAACCGCTTGCGGAATAAGAGACGTGCGTGCATGAAGGTTGACAAACACTAAAGAAAAGAAGTGGAGAGAAAAAAATCTTATCGGGTTTCCGAGTCAGTCAAGGCCGATTACGACTCATCATCATAATTCTACTTTTTTCCAGGTCCCCGACCTTTAAAGTGGAGTGGGCAAACAAGCTGAATGTCGGAAGCAGTTTTCTATGAAGCCCGGAAAGGGACAGGGTGTAGTTTACGATTTTGCGATGTTTGAAATATTTCCTTGTCTTTGTCGACTGCTTCCGAGCCAAGATGTCTGCTTCCAGTCCGTTATCTGTTTGCTCTTGTAAGGGGCCTCTGTCCTCAAGGCGTCTTGGGGTATTGATACTATACTTTAAAGGACCTCTTGAATTGTCCACGGGAGTACCATTTCGTTAATTTTGATTCGATTATGGATACATCCCTTGGCATATACAGTTTGACAAGCGACTCTAGGGGATCAAGAAGGTCCTGAACTCTATTTCTAACTCTATGGGTTGATTTTTATTCTTTTAGCAGGGCAAAAAATAGTCAAACGCTCTCTTATGGTGGCCGAAGCGTACCCAAAGGATGTCAAATTATATAGAGAGACGTGGTCAATCAACACTTGGCCACATTTGAGGAAAATCGAAGTAAATATACATAGAAGTACATGGAAATGATAAACCAGCAGTTCTGCTTATTTTTTATGCTAGACCACGCCAGTATGGTGTTTTATTCCGGATAAATCAGCTACGAATTAAGAAAAAATTAAATAGATCTTAAACTTATCCAGCGACCCCGGCTTTTCAAAGCAGCCCCTGGCATATTAATTATCTTGAACGTCTAATCACCTTAAGGGTATCATTTTATGCATTCAAAATCTCAGGTATCAGATGAGATGGAAGTGCGAAGGAAGTGCGAAGTTTGGTAACGGTAAGGAGTATGTATATGCTACAGGTTAACAATTCAATGACGACGGGCAGAGCATACTATCCGAACAGTTGAGTTCTCTCTGGTTTTTTTTCTCTTCAGAACCACACATACTCACAAAAGAGATTTGCCACATGGTGCTACCGCATATCTTATTACCTTTTCAACGTGCAAACCTTCAAATCTCAGTTAACAATTCACTGAAGAAGAGCGTTGTAAGTTGTGACAATTACATCTCATGAAAGTTCAAAATGATGTTTTTTTTTCGACGTGGGCAGACATTATGCCTGACAGCACTAAACAAAATATGTAAACAGTATTTTCCCCACACCACAATATACAAGATCAATTTCATTATTTTCATTACAAACAAAAGCGTGACACGCTAAAGTTTGAGGTTTTTGCAATAGTTTAACAGTTAGTTACACACTAACCCAAAACCAAGCTATGCAAAATAAACCGCTTGTAAATCTTTATTAAAACTTAAAGAACATCCAGTTTAACACTGAAATTGCTGACTTTATTGCAAATGATATGTCATGTTTTATTCAACAAATAGGAACAAACCCAAAACTCAGGGGAAGGATTAGAAAGTAAAATATACCTATTTTTTTTATATGGCAGGTGAGTTTACAAAATGAATACCTTAGAGATTAAAGTAACTACGTCTTTTGAAGTACATTATTTTATCTGTAGATGACATTAATCAAAAAAAAAAGTTATCTTTTATGGGTTAAACAATAAAAAGCCAGACTCTATTTCACATAATGTCACGAAACAGACTCTTTTGGAAATCCTACATGACATTCTTAAATAAAATGCGTTTCGGTTTATACGACATCAAGTAGACAATGTGGCGCTACACCCGTGTATTATACAAACTTTAATCTTCAACTTCAATCATCTAAATCAAGATAAATAAGATCTGCAACAAGAACCCGGTAAAACATTTAATAAATAGGCTTCAAACTTGGTTAAACGTGCGATATGTAAGTAATTTGTTCTTCTGATTAAAAATCTATGTATTAAAAGTCTATCACGCAACTGTTAAATATTACTTTCTTTTTATTTTATCATTAGTAAAAAAAGATGATTTTTTTTGAATTTATTTAAAAGATGCCCGTCACTCCATGAAAACACGATAAGTGCAATAATTAAACCTACTCCCATGCTGACTTTCATTCGGATTGTATTTTTCGTTTTAAAAATACTATATTGTTTCCGTCAAATCATTTGTTATTGTTTGACGGTTTCTCATATACTTATTATCCTAATGCTACACATCATGACAAATCACAAGACGAAATTTCAATTTAATACCCGTGGTATTTCTTGAGTTATTGCCCAAAACAACGAGTGTGTTATTTATGTTCAGTAGAGAGGCATCCGCATGAATGCTTGGAAAGTGGTGGTGCGCCCTCTATTGAAAAAAATTAAAGTAGACACAAAAAGAGGGCGCTGTTTGATTTGGGTGAAGTCTTTTGTATTTACCCAAACCAAACAGCGCCTTCCTATTGTGTCCACCATACCTCAAATAGGCTAATATGCACGTTTGTCTCCTTGTGAGACCACTATTTTGCTTAGCGCGTCCTTTTTTGACAGAAACTTTTAGTTGACAAAACTGTGCAGGTAAAAATGCCTTTGCAAAAAAGTGAAACAAATGAACTTCAATTCAAATGTGCTGCTTTTGTTCCATGAATAATTTTCGCGTATAAAACATCACATTGCTTTAGTCATTTTTTTTCTATTGTGTGACGATTTCTCATGAAATTTAATCTCTTATAAGTATGCTACTCATCATGACAAATTACTGTACGAAATTTGAATTCAACTCAACAGATATATCCAGAGTTATTGTCGGAACAACGAGTGTGGTGTTTGACTTCAGTCAGGCTTTTTTTCATCCGTGTTGGCGTGCTTTGTTGTGGTGACCACTATGTTTAAAGCAAAATGTGCAAAGCTAAAATCACACGTGCACCCACACGTTCGTATACATGCAGGCAAACTTCTAATCGACAGTGGGCCTACATTTGCCTAACACATGTGCTCCTATCAAATAAATTGATAACAAAATGAAGGGGGTAATGCTTGAATTTGTTTTAGCGTTGTGGTATGTCATATTTGAAGGCTTGGCTAAAGATGAAATGCCTTTACTTTCCGATATTTTGATTTCTCCTGACAAATTTTAAACGTTTGTGCTTTTTAACGAAAAAAACCCCACTTATTTCCAATTGTGCGATTTTGGGAGTCTGAAACCCTCTTAAAAAGGTTTCCATTTTGCGCAAAAATTCATCTCCCTAAGACTAGACATGGCACTGGTCTCTTCATCGAATCTGAAAAGTCTACTCTTGGTGTATTGAATAACTGTGGGGCCGCAAATACTTAAAGTAGACCTACGCTTTTTGTTCGCTGATGTCTCATCCAAAAATAATGTCATATCCAAAACAATGTCATAGCATGTTTATTGCCAGGAAACAATAACTGCTCAAAGATGAAGCGTCAATGCTTTACAAAGAAATCGTGTTTTTTTTCTGCCCAAGAATTGTTTGATTTAAACGAGAATGAAAAATTCACCGTATTTTTCTTTCTTTCGCTTTTGTGCACAAACAGGTCACAAACACGAATTGTGTATTTTTTTGTTATCTGTACATTGTCTGTTCTAATCTATGGTTTAATTTTGTGTGGTTTTAATTCCTTGAGTTCTTTTATGGTAATGTGTTCATTTTGTCTTTTGTTGAATTTTTTGTCATTTTTTGTCATTATTATATCATGTTTTTATGTAATCCAGGACCCCTAGGGAGAACAGTTCATTGACAACTGATGAGGCTACCCTGCTAAAATAAGACGAAATAAATAAACTAAATAAATAAATAAATATTAGGCTTGAAATTCAATGAGAACCACGATTTTAGGAGACCAGCTTGGCAAGGTTGTAATTCTTCTCAGGTCCGCAGTTTAAAATACGCCGAGTGCCACATCCAGAAAACGATACTTAACGCCCGCCAGCGTATTTTTTTTATCTTCAGCATGCATCGTATTTTAACCAATCACATCACGCACCCTGACATGAATATTTATCACTCTGAGTGGATGGAAGACGCTTAGGTTCTCGTAGTGTTGTCCCTTTAGTTAAACCTATCCCAACCAACACAAATATTTCGTGAAAATGGGAATGGGCTCGAACCACAGTCTTGCGATCCATAGATCACTCCACTATCCACTAAGTCACTATGCCAGCTCGATGAAAAGCTGTTGTTTGAAATGACTGAGTGATAGTAATGGTGAGACGTCATTGTTGTTTTCTTATGAATAAACTAGCCGAATCTTCATGATCCATTGACGATGTGTGCTGCAAACAAAAACATCGCCCTCCCCCGTTAATTTGAATCTGAGTTACGCCATACTATCAGTGGCGTAGCTACGGGGCTTTTGGGATGCAGCCCTGTATTAAAATTCCCATAGACACCAGTGCTAAATGCCCATACTTCACAATTCTTTTTAAAATACTCAGAACTCTCAAAGGTATTTATGCTACACAGAAAAAAAAAGATGATCAACATGACTGTCATCTTTCATTTTCTTTTCATTTTTTTGATGGGTTGACCATTGACTTTTCGAGAAACTTTCACCCAAAGAAGACGACCGCTTGTTTTCTCAAAGGACGGTGGGAGGGTGGGGCGACGTTCTAAAGACTCGTTTTCTGGATGTGGCACTCCGCTTAATAGACCTCATGCTAACGGACAGGTATGATACAAGACCCAAGTTGTGGAGTTTTCAAAGCCGAAGAAGCTGAAGTACCTGCTGATAGGGCTGGTTTTTGTCCACCGCAAGTACGCCGGCTTCCGGTGTTTACCCAGCACGAAAGTACCTCGGTCGTACCGCAGCCAGAAGCGACGAAACTCGGTCTCGCTCAGGACGCCTGGGGATGGCACGGTATACGATGGATTGCTGCTCGGGAATTCTCTGATGAAGGTCTCATTATTGCCAAGAACTGTTTAACACACACGGAGTAAACGAAAAAGCGATTTGATTTACCTATATTCGCCAGATTCATGATGCCTGACATGGAAGACAGTTTTACATTCTATAAATTCCCTGGCCAGATTTTACCCGCAATGTGGGTTTGAATGTTATAGCCCAATACCCGAGTTGAGCCTTAAATTGATTTTTTTTTACAGGGCCGCAAATAATTCAAAAGGAGTAAAGTAAGTAATTCATAACTTAATGGAGCTGACTTTCTTTTCGGTTGGTGTCTTATATTCGAAAGTGAATAACATTTTTATTATTAGAAAACATATATAGTTATTACCTCCGCCAAAGGGTTATGTTTTCATCGGATTTTGTTGGTTGGTTGGTTGGTTTGTCTTGTTAACAAGATAACTCAAAAAGTTATGGACGGATTTGCATGAAGATTGTTTAGGGGTGGTCCTTGATACAGGTACAAATAGATCAGATTTTGGGAGTGATCCGGATCTGGGTCTGGATCCAGGTTAATAAAAAAAAAATGATTCTTCACCATTTATGCGAGTATTTCTTTGGGGTGTACTGACAATATGGCGAGGAATTGTTTGACCTTGGCGGAGGTTTGCGCTCTCTGAGTGCTTTTTAGTTTAAAGATGCACCGTCCGTGATAGTATTTGTTTATTTCAACAAAAGCAAAAATCAAATATTTTCTATCGTTGGTGTCTTCAGCCCTCTAAATTAAAGACTAATTCCCGACCTCAACACTACCGATTTTCATAGGTGGCGGAAACCAGTCTACCACGAGGAAACTAAAGTATTGCCGGGCCGTAAACAACTCGAAAGTTGTAAAGCAAGTTGTCCGATTTCTCTCGTTATATGTCTCACTCAAAAGTCTTATATTGGTCCATTAATAAGGGTATAAATGTGTGCTTGGCCGGTTTTAAACGCTTTGTTTACGACCGTTTGGAGTGTAGGTGCTAATAATTACCCTCGCCGAATTCACAAATACTTCTTCGTTCAAAAAGCAAAAATTTTCTGTCCAAAAGTCAAAACAAGTCCAAAATTATAAATTTCCAACGATTTTGATCCACACTATTACTTCATGTTTTTTATTAAACACCTCTCTATAATGTTAATCCATCTCGCGAAAAGTAGTAAACAACACCTTAAATAGAGTTTTGTGCGCGGTGCGTACTGCGCGATGTGGCCCAGAACGCAGCTGTGCCGGTGTTCACTATAGAAAATATATCAAAAACCGACTCACTGGAAGTATTGCGCATGCCTACGTGAGGATTATGAACGTTCAACCATAAAAGCGGTAAAAGGCACCGGATTTCATATGAGCTAAACTTCCATGTGACACTGGAAAAGTGTTTAAGACCAACCAGCTGGTCTTTATCAAGAATCGGCCACTCGACGGGCTCTAAACCAATAGCAATGGGTAAACTGTAGAGGTATTTATGAATATCAGTTAAAAAATAACCCTCGAAAATATTAGCACGGACGGTACAGTAGGCCTCTTCATCTTTCAAAGGAATCTTTTTTCCGGCAGTGACACGTACTCGACGTCACTTTACCAACATTTACGAAGATGGCTTTTTAAAAATTATTTTTCACTCACCCAGTTGGTATTGCATTCCCTCAACCGTGTTATCACTCGAGAACAGGATCACGGCATTGTCCCTGGCTATGACAGCGAAGTCCAACACGGTCTCGCCATCAAACGAAAGCTTAAGGAATGGGTGCATGCGCTGATACGGGTAGAGGTAGTACGTGCTGCTGCATCCTGTAGTGAAGGAATGGGGCAGATGTTTCGATCGTCACGGTATTAAAGTCAGTGGGCTTGAGGGGGCCCATATGCATATTTTCGGGGCACAGTCTTTGAAATTCAACCAAGGATCACCTATGGATACCTCAACAAGTTCAAGCCACTTATTGACTTATTCTCTAATGTTTTAAAGCCACATTTAAAAAGAAATGATAGTAAAATAAGGCTGCATGCATTACGCCTGCACAAATAGTCTGGCGCCGTCCCATTCAACAGTTAACAATCAATGAAATACATTCAGGGAACTCGACAAAAATGGCCAACTCGTGAATAAGGCCCATGCACTGATCTCTGGGCCCATGTCATTGTTTTTGGCATAAAGGGCTGTAGCGTTCACTTTAAGTTACACTGCACTGCGCCTTTAACGCATCTTGTATATATGTTTAGTTCAGAGGTCAACCTTCACGCATTCAGTTTCGTTTCGTTATCGTTCTGTCACACACGCAATATTTACAGTGCTTTTCCTATAATTTCGCTTGGAAGTTACAAGCTAGAATCAACGCTATTCTTTACATGATTTATTAAACATCGGCAGAGCTATTCCAGTGAGCAATCCAAGTTTCTCTCGTGGATTTTTGTGAGTGTTTATTGACCGAACTTTGTGAGCGTTTTCACCACGTGAGTTGAAACCAACTCGCCCCGCATTCACGGCGCGGGCAGTCGCCCCGTTCGCGTTGCGTTGTGCATGGACTCGGCCCAGTTTTGGCTGTTTACATACTGCAACTTGGTGAGTCACTTAACTTGCAATAAACTCGGGAGTTAAAGTAGGACAGTACAACTAATTCCAACATTGGTGACCCAGACCTGAGCCGAACAACATGGAAACCAAATCTGACTCTGATCATGCTGATTCCAAACCGGGCACATCCAAAGGTGCTACTGCTAGTTCATCTCCATCTGCACCCACAACATCAGCTGCAGTGACTTTGAAGTTGCCTCCATTTTGGCCCAGTGACCCTGCCCTTTGGTTTGCGCAAGTGGAAGCGCAATTTCTAACCCGTAACATCACTCAGCAACACACCAAATTCGCATACGTGGTTGGTTCCTTGCAGCCAGAGTTTGCAACTGAAGTGAGGGACATCCTCATTTCACCCCCTGAGCATAATGCCTACGACAGCCTGAAGACCGCCCTCATCCGTCGAACCTCCGTATCAGAGCAGAAAAGACTGCACCAGTTGCTAATATCGGAGGAGCTGGGGGACTGCAAGCCTTCACAATTACTACGTCGTATGCGGCAGTTGTTAGGAGACAACACGCTCGAAGAAAACATCCTGAAACAACTGTTTCTTCAGAGATTATCGACCAACGCCCAACTTATCCTGGCATCAACATCTCAAACGACACCCATTGAGCAACTCGCAGAACTTGCAGACAAGATTGTTGAAGTTTCTGTCTCGCCTACTGTACATGTCGGGGCAGTTTCATCCAGCCAGCCTGGCAGTTCGTCGCCTCCAACAACCATGCCAAGTTCAGATATGCTCACACTACAAGCCAAAGTTGACCAGCTAACCCAACAAGTCAGCGCTCTCACATGCCAAGTCTCCGGTCAGCCCCGTTGGAGATCGAGGAAGCGTGACACAACCCCACCCAATCGACGCCCATCTCGCAGTCGCAGCCCATCACACTCTGGCACTGACTGCTGGTATCACTGGCGATTCGGCGCTGATGCCAGAAGGTGTGTGTCCCCATGCAGCTTCAACCCCCGACAACAACAGGGAAACTCCGATGCCAGCGACTAAAGGCGACGAGTCTCCCTGGCACCGACACCAATAGTCGCCTATTCTTCATCACTGAACGCAAGACAGGGGCCCGGTTCCTGGTAGATACGGGAGCGGAAGTGAGCGTTTGGCCTCCATCGGCTGCGGATAAACGTCATGCCCAGTCTTCATCTATCAATCTTCAGGCGGTGAACAAATCTCCCATCAACACATATGGTGAGAAGTCACTCACTTTGGATGTCGGGTTGCGTCGAGTCTTCCGTTGGGTGTTCATTATCGCGGACCTGCCAAACCCAATAATTGGAGCAGATTTTCTCCAACACTTCGGACTGCTAGTCGACGTTCAGCGTCGCAAACTCATCGACTCCACTACAAGCCTCACCGTAGGTGGAATCGGTTCAGATGCCATTCCCATCAGTCCAACCGTTGCCAAGCTGAGTGAGTCGCCCTATGAAGTGATCCTCGGACAATTTCCAGAACTGACACGTCCGACTTACACTGCCAAGGACGTTAAGCACTCTATAACGCATCACATTGTGACTAAGGGTCCCCCAGTGTCAGCTCGCCCAAGACGCCTGGCTCCCGACAAGTTCATCACGGCGAAAGACGAGTTCAATCATATGCTTGATCTCGGCATCATCGAAGCTTCGGACGGTGCATGGTCGTCGCCTTTACATATGGTGGCCAAGAAGTCAGGTGACTGGAGGCCGTGCGGAGACTACCGTGCCCTCAACCGTGTTATAGTACCCGACCGCTATCCGATACCCCATCTGCATGACTTTACAGCCAATCTGGAGGGTAAACGCGTGTTCTCAAAGATCGACTTAGTACGCGCTTACCACCAAATTCCAGTCCATCCTGACGACATCCACAAGACCGCCATCACAACACCTTTCGGTCTGTTCCACTTCCTTCGCATGCCCTTCGGCCTGCGGAACGCCGCTCAGACTTTCCAACGATTCATCGACATGGTTACGCGAGACTTACCTTTCGTGTACGCCTACATCGATGACATCCTGGTCGCGAGTGAGACAGAGGAGGACCATCTTGAGTACTTGCGTCTTCTCTTCAGCAGACTTTCCGAATATGGCATTATCATCAACCCATCCAAATGCCAGTTCGGGGTTCCCACCCTCGATTTCCTGGGACACAGAATCGACGCTGATGGTATCCGTCCCATGAGAGACAGAGTCAACGCGATTGCAGAGTTCCCTCAGCCTACCTCCACCCGTCAACTGCGCAGATTTTTGGGACTGGTAAACTTTTACCGTCGTTTTGTGCCAAACTGCGCAAGCGTGATCGCCTCGCTGACAGACCAGCTGCGAAAAAGACCCAACCAGTCACGCAAATCAACCAAACTGAATTGGACACCCGAATGCCAGACAGCGTTCCTGCAGATCAAGCAATCACTCGCTGACACCACACTTCTCGCTCACCCTTCTTCGGTACTACCAACTGCCATGATGGTGGACGCCTCGGACACGGCAGTTGGCGGTGTGCTTCAGCAACTTTCCGAAGGAGTATGGCACCCCCTGGCCTTCTTCTCTCAGCGTCTTAAACCTGCAGAGAGTCGCTATAGCACCTTTGGGCGCGAACTACTGGCCATGTACTTGTCAGTCAGACACTTTCGACACTTCATCGAAGGACGAGAATTCTGCATTTACACTGACCACAAACCGTTGGTGTATGCTCTCAACTCCAAACCTGACCGGCATTCACCTAGAGAAGTTCGTCACCTGGACTATGTATCTCAGTTTACATCCGACATTCGTCACATCAAGGGCACAGAGAATGTTGTAGCGGATGCGCTCTCCCGATCTCACATCAGTGCCTTGACAACATCGACCCAGATTGACTTCGAGCAGATGGCCATGGATCAGACACAAGACCAGGAACTACACAGAATCCTGGAATCACCCACATCCCTGGACCTCAAGCAAGTTCCGATACCGAACTCAAATACATCCATCTGGTGCGATGTGTCGACAGGTCATGAACGCCCTTTCGTACCCCAAAACCACAGACGGAGTGTGTTCGATTCCTTGCACAATCTGTCTCACCCTGGCATTCGAGCAACACTGAAACTGGTTGGTTCACGCTACGTCTGGCCACGCATGAACTCAGACATCAGAGCATGGGCCAAGGCCTGCGTCAAGTGCCAGAAGTCCAAGGTCCACAGCCACACCAAGACTCCGTTTGGAACCTTCGCATCTCCAGATGCACGTTTCGATCATGTGCACATAGACATCGTGGGACCACTCCCCCCTTCCCAGGGATATTGCTATCTACTCACATGCGTTGACAGGTTTACACGCTGGCCAGAAGCAATACCTATACCCGACTGCACCGCTGAAACAGTCGCCAAGGCCTTTGTGAACAGATGGGTCTCCACCTTTGGTGCTCCGTCTACGATAACCACAGACCGCGGACGACAGTTTGAGTCGGCCCTGTTCCACGCTTTGATGGTTCTCCTAGGTACCAGACGCACGCGAACAACATCGTACCACCCCATAGCAAACGGTATGGTTGAACGCCTGCATAGACAGCTCAAAGCCTCTCTCAAATCGAGTACTAACCCTCAACGTTGGACCGAAGCATTACCACTCATCCTCCTCGGGATCCGCACGGTGGTAAAGCAGGATCTTGGTTGCTCCACCGCCGAATTGGTGTTTGGCACCACCCTGAGACTTCCAGGACAGTTTGTTGCACCCCCCAACGATACTGGTAATCTCGCCGACCCTGCAGACTATGTTCACAGACTGCGACACACGATGCAGCACATCAGACCCACACCGCCTCGGTCGCGAGACAGAACTGCACAAATTCACAAGGATTTGATGTTGTGCAAGCATGTATTTGTCCGTTGCGATCATGTGCAGAAACCCCTCCAAACACCCTACAAAGGTCCATACCGAGTACTCAGCCGGACAGACAAGTACTTCACACTCGACCTGGATGGAAGGCAGGACACAGTCAGCTTAGATCGGTTGGAAGTTGCTTACCTCGATACAGATACCACCCCTTCCCAGCCATCTACCCTAGAGCTTAAGCGTGTACAGCCATCTCCTGCCATCCCTACGCACACGGTTGATGACCAACACACAGCAACACCAGCAGCTCAACGGCACTCGCGTTCTGGCCGGCATGTTCATTGGCCATCCAAGTACACAGACTTTGACTGTGGTTGATTTAACCTGAACACTTATCGCTCGCTTCAATACCATTTTGCGATCTAGAGGGGGTCTACTGTAGCGTTCACTTTAAGTTACACTGCACTGCACCTTTAACGCATCTTGTATATATGTTTAGTTCAGAGGTCAACCTTCACGCATTCAGTTTCGTTTCGTTATCGTTCTGTCACACACGCAATATTTACAGTGCTTTTCCTATAATTTCGCTTGGAAGTTACAAGCTAGAATCAACGCTATTCTTTACATGATTTATTAAACATCGGCAGAGCTATTCCAGTGAGCAATCCAAGTTTCTCTCGTGGATTTTTGTGAGTGTTTATTGACCGAACTTTGTGAGCGTTTTCACCACGTGAGTTGAAACCAACTCGCCCCGCATTCACGGCGCGGGCAGTCGCCCCGTTCGCGTTGCGTTGTGCATGGACTCGGCCCAGTTTTGGCTGTTTACATACTGCAACTTGGTGAGTCACTTAACTTGCAATAAACTCGGGAGTTAAAGTAGGACAGTACAACTAATTCCAACAGGGCCATTCAGAATCCGGTTCACTAGTAAAAACGTCATTCACGCGCACCCACCATTGATTACTGGCGGTCATTGGCTACAACCACTCGAACTGCGTTAACTTCCGGTTCTAGTCGTGCAGAAAGTGCTGGAGGTGACGTCACACTAACGAACCGGATAGTCAATTCCATGTATAAAAATGTCGATCGTATTCACGCGCGCGAGTGCGTTGTGTCAACGCTTGCGCGCATCCATTCACGGCTTCGCCGAATTAAAAACGAACTACTGACGGAAATCTCTAAAAAAAAAGAAGACTAGTGGCCAGAAACAATAATGTCACAGTGAGTTTAGTGACATTACTATCTTTAAACCACGTAGGCTTTTAAGCAATAATTTCGTCAGTTACTTTTGGATAGCTGCAAATGTTCATATATTCTACCTTTAAGCAGGAAGGATGAGGTGCTTATGTCAACACTTACATGAACCAAGGGCTTGAAGGAAACATGGTTTGACTTTCATTGTATTGCTAATTATCTTCTGTATCAAGTGACCAGAACAAATTAACCCACTTCCATAAAAAAAGAATGAAAAATGGACGCTGAACCTGCAATGTGTTATGAATAGCAGCTCCCCCGCAACACAGAAAATTAACAGCTTTTGTCGTCGTATTGGAAAAAGTCATGCATACAAAAAATGAAAAAAAAAGCGCTGGACTTGAGGGGATCAGCTCTTCCGCTTAATTACCTACAGTGCGCAGGTAATCTGAAAATGATGATTAGCACCGAACTGCCTGGATGACTGCTGATGCACAATACTAGCTTCGCCAAATTGCCACAGCATTATTGGTGCGTAACACAATCACAAAGCAATTCTGTTTATTGGATACAAAAACGAGTACGAGTTAGCGGATTATGTCATGCAGTTTTTGCAAAATGTGCCTAGACAGAGTTACCTTTTAGATCAGAGTTACTAAAAAGTATATAGGCTACACTACACTTCTGCAATAGGGGGCGGGGGGGGGGGGGCACCTTGCCCCCTGTATTTTCCATAAATGCTTAGAGAGTTCTGATACGCCATTGCCTCAGCCCCGATCTGGACTTGCACTTGAAGTGCTGTAGAAACTAGCCTTGACCAAGTCTGTCTACTTGTTCCCTGTACGAGCGGCGTATACCGCACAACTTTTAGATCAGAGTTACTAAAAAGTATATAGGCTACACTACACTTCTGCAATAGGGGGCGGGGGGGGGGGCACCTTCCCCCCTGTATTTTCCGGTTACAACGCAACGTTTAATACCCACACACATGCCCGACTCCGTTCGATAATCGATCACATGATGATCAGTCACATGATGACAAGTCACATGATGACAAAATGGCAGCCGTCAATTTTTTTGAATCGTGACTCCCTTCGTGAATCTGATTGGTTATACATAAATATCGCGTCTTGTGAAATCAGTATGCTGCCCGCACACCTTTCTGGTCACATAGGATCCGGTGAAATCGAATGCGAAAAAATCGAACATTATTTTATTTCGTCCGGTCGCCCGGTGTACGGTCCGACGCGATCGGTCCGATATTTTTTCAGCGCACACCTCTGTACAATGGCCCGCTGATCCACTGAACCGGTAAAATCGGAAAGGTGTGCACTGGGCTTCAAGGACAGCGTTTTCCACCCAAGTCTTCGGTGATCAGTTCGCAGTCTGCTTTATGTCAGAGTCTCTTTGAAAGACATCTTTTTTGTCCGTCCAGCTCCGATTGAATGAAGCTGGATTGAATTTAAAGAATAAATGAATAACTGATGCAACGAATCACCATGGATTAGGCCTACTATGGTGATTGGCTACCGTCAGTTATTCTGATATCCCTACCTTGTTTGGTATAATAAGTGCAGTTATCAGCACCGGGCACAGTCGCACGTACACTCGCCTCGACGAAGCTGGCATCTTCCAGCACGCACTGCCCGGTGGTCTTTCCGTAGCAAAACTGTCGGCAAATGTCCTTCTTCAGGCACTCGACGGCGCAACGTCCCTTGGATCGGCTGATCGTAGAGGCGATCACGCGGTGTGGCACTGCCTGGTGCTCATCATGCTCGGCCAACGCAAACGCTTCCGAAGCCGTGACGGGCGCTGAGCCGTTTGCCACAAAGATCTCACTAGAGCAGATCACAGCAATCAGACCGACGTGTAATACATGTACCGTCATTTTTGATGCAAAGATTCAGTACTATAAGCCTGCTACTCTTTCCTGTCCATAAAGTACCTTAAAGAGAGTTCTTTCAGATCTCACATCAATACACACAGCTCAGAACACTATTCTTTAACCCTGCATTTCACTTTATGTCAGGCGACAAAACTTTATATCAACTATAGAACGTGTTTCCTGTAGGCTGTGCGATGGTCGTATACAGCGTACCTTTAGGCGGCATACAGCTGATGGGTGTGGTACAGACCTGTGTAGATTCACGCATGCGCAAATTATGTTACCCGACCGGTTTGTCCATGATGAGGCCTTCGTTTATGATGTAGCCTCTGAGGCAATACACGAATATACAATGTACAGTAAATGTGTGGGATGAAATTGTGAAACGTTCACCGTTTCATCCGCTATTTGTAGAGCATTATAGTTTAAATTCTTGCATGAAACAGTTTAGTTTGATTTCCGAATTATATTAGACTTTTAGTGCAACCAGCTGGTCTCACAAACAGTGCGTATTACGCAATGCGTAGGATTTATACAACAAATTTGTTGCACTGCTGCTACCTGCGCAATAACCTTCAGATCGATATCACGAAACATGGCGTAGCTAAGCGTTTGAAATAATTTAAACATCTTAGACGGCTGTTTTGCATAATGATTTTATTGTGTCACAAAACGTCTAATGTTGGCAGCTTTTATAGCTCATAATTCATTGGGCTATACTCGATGCTGATGATACGTACAGGCAAGGAAAATGAAAAGGCTGCCGAGTTAGATGTAAACAAACCACATTTGTGAACATTGTTCCCCCGCAAAATTAATGTAAGACATCATCTCGTTCTCCCAAACCTTGACTTATATCGAGACGAATGAATACCTTTAACTGGAGTTGGAGTGAACTTGTGGCGTAGTTGTTATACAGCTGGACTCATAAATGTCCACATCGGCACGTCGGTTGGGCTCTTGGCTAGCGTGTCATTGTACGTGTATATGCCTACTTTATGTACTGTTTTTGTCCCATCTTTTCAATGAAACAGGTGTTGTCGTATGCCCAGATTTAGAATGTAATTATATCGAAGAACTGTAATTATGACTCAAATTAGAGTTTGCCCTTCACCGACGTATAAATACTGTATACTCAGTGTGTTACCTCCCGAGTGAAAGTTGGAAAAAATCACTCGGGTGGGACTCGAATCCACGACCTCCTGCTTTCTAGTGCAGATGTCTTACCACCCGACCACCGAGCTAACGGGATCTATTGGATGGTTCGAATCTAATGTACATATAGCAGTGGGTACCGCATTGACTATTCATAAGATGGGATTTTTGCGTCGGGGTGATGTAATTCAAATTAGGTTTTGCCCTTCACCGACGTATAAACACTGTATACTCGGTGTGATTAAATCACCTCGACGCAAACATCTCATCTTATGAATATAATTATGACGATAATGCAACAGTTCTACTCGTCTTATTAGACCAGGCAAGATTCGTACTTAGTTCCAGATAAGCTAATAAGTCGGGAGGGTGACATAAATCCTTGAAATAAACTAAAAATTAACTTAAGGGAAACTGACTGCTAGCAAAAATAGCGGTACTAATTACTACAAAGATCACCCAGAGACGATACGGCATTTTATTGCAATTCTTCAAATCAGCTACAAAGGGAAAGTGACTAAGTACATCATCATACTGTGGCCTCGTGGTTAAGGGCACTGATTCGTGGTCTGTGGGTAAAGCTGCAGGTTTTGGTTTCGAGTCCTGCCCGGGGTCATGGTGCGTGTGCCCTTGGGCAAGGCACTTTGTCACTCATTGCTTCTCTCCACCCAGGAGTAAATGGGTACCTGTGAGGGCAGAGATGGTTATTGTGATCGAATTAGCTTCCTTGCGCCTAACAGGCTGCATCGAGCTGTATACTCCCCAGGGAGCTGAGATGGTATTTGGAATGTTTCATGTGCCCAATGAGCAGGGGTAATAATGATGTAGCGCCTTGAGCACCAGTCCTGGTGGATACGTGCGCTTTATAAATATCCACTATTATTATTATTATTATTATTATAGGTTTTCTCGGTCAATTTCGGCAAATGAGCAGCGAATTTAATTTTCGTGCGTTCGAATTGAAGCTATTTTGCCTCTCCAGTTGTTACTGCGTTTCAAATTCAGAATTCGGCCATTCAATTTCGTTTTGAGGCATTCAAATTCCTTTAGCACTGTGTTCAATTTAGCATATCGTCATTCTTTTTCGTGACACACAATCATCATTCAATTTAGCAAAGCTGGTTCGACTGGAGATTTTACTGATTTAATTTTGTTCAATTTCGTAAAGAGGCAATCAATTTCGCTTAAAGAGAATTCAAATAAGTACGACTAAAGAAATACGAATAAACAGATAAACTGTACTAGGCAACTGTTTCGTATCTTCACTTTAATTCAGGCAAACCTTGTTTTCTTTATTTATGCTTCCAGTAGACTTTGCATGGGGCCAATGAGGTTTTTTCTTCTTCTTTGTTTTCTTCTTCATTCTTTTTTTTTGGGGGGGGGGATCTTTATTGGTTAACTGACCAAGACCTAATTTTGTATTGTGTTTGAATGGGGTGTTTCTTTATGTTTTTCCTGGTTTTTTATTGTTTATGTTGTTTCTTCCTCAACCATCAATCTGTTGGCGTGCCAGACATCTTGGCATATATGTTTGGGTATGGTTGTACCACTGCATGCACTTCACTTGGGTGATGACATCAACGCTCTGGATGGCTGCTTGTTGAAGGAGATCGCACCTCCACTGCTGCATGTTCATTCCTGCTGGCTGGGCAGCCTGTCTGTCTCCGACACGTTGTTGCCACTCAGGTAACCCAAGGATGCGTTTAACTGCAGCCTTGAATGCAGAGTGTGCCATCTCCGTGCTGTTCAGGAATGGGGAGTAGGGAGGGAGGCGCTTCAGCTGGATCATTGGGTTGGCACCTTCAGGGAGTTGGGCTCGCACATGAGGCCTCGCATTGTCGTATATGAGGTAAATGGGTTCGTCGTCTGGGAAAACTGCATCACACTCTTGAATTGTGTCCGCAAGAAACTCCTCGAATCTCTCTCGCGTCACAGTTTCGAATGCGATTCGGTGGTGCACCAAGCCTACTTCACTAGAAACAGCGAAGGTGACATTGCAATTTCTCCCTCGTTGTCTGTCGACGACTCGTCTTGCAGCGATCCCTCGTGGAGCTCTACCCTGGGAGCGTCGAGTCCAGACGTTATAACCTGTCTCGTAAATGAAGACTAGATGCGCCAGAACACCATGCTGCAGGAACCACTCACCATACTTGACGCGTTGATCAAGAACTTCATGGGAATTTCTTGCATCAGGGACGTCCTCCACTAGTTTCAGTGTAATCATCATCCCATCCAAGGCCCTGGCTATGGTGGCAGTAGAAACCTGGGGCTTCTCTGGCAGATGCACACTCAAACTAGCCTTCATTTGTTGAAGTGTCAAGACGGGATTAGCGTCAAGGATGCCTTGCAGATGGTTTCGCATGTCATCATCCATCTTGCTGTGGGTTGCTCCTCCTCTTGCCAGCGTCTCTCGCCTTCCAGTCCTCAAATATGTTGCAACAATTGATCTGGCTGTGGACTTGTTGATGTTCAAATTGACCGCAAGCTCAAGGTAGTCTTGCTCGTTTCCCTCGAAGGCCTCAATCAACCTTTCTCGATCTACCTGGGCCACTCTAGCGTAGCGACCACGAGCTGCCATTTCTAGAAATATGCGTGTAAAACTGTAGCGAAAGCTCGTCTTCGAAGTACATCGGCAAAGTGACTCAAGTGCCAAAAAGTGAACCGTATTTATGCCTTCAACATTCTTAAGGAAACAAAAATTTAACAAAGCGTTTTTTAGATTGCACAAATTCCAGAAATGACTGCCAGAAAAAGGAATTTGAATGACTAAACAGACGCCTCAAAAAGCTCCTGCGAATTTGAATGCTGCTTTGTTGAATTGTTAAATTGCATGATTATTTTGTTAAATCGAATGACGCAACAGTACATTTGACTGGTCATAAAACGAAATCGAATGACCCTTTTCAGTAGCATTTGATTTCGCGCGAAATAGAATAGCGTAGTGGTTAAATTGGCTGCTCTTTTGCCGAAATTGACCGAGAAAACCTATATTATAATTTAAAAGTCGTGCAAAGAAATTGACTGGAGCGGGGTTTGAACCTGCAACCTCGAGATTACCGTTCCGGTGCTCTACCATTGTTAGTATTCAGTCTTATGTTGGCGGTTCCCCATTCAGTCAACGTTTTGCTTAAGGGCGCTAATAGTCAGCAGTTGCAGGTTCCAACCCCGCTCCAATCAATATCTTTGTTCGACTTTTAAATAAATCTTAATATTATGAAGCGAACCTTCATCGAAGCAATCCCTCGAAAAAAAAAAAGAGATTTTGAACGTGTGATCATCTTTAACAGCGCGATTGATGCTTTCAAAATCTAAGCAATTAGGTGAGATGAAATAACGTGATTCATTTTCTTACTAGCGCGAACACTGCAAAGTTGGGCAACGGTGAGGCATGTATTGGTCAAAATATACTACGACTACGAGGAGCAGTGTGAGAAGGGCACATGAAAGTTCATCATGGTTTTCTTTCAACGTAGTCAGACATGTCTGAGAGAATAGAGTTATTTCTCCCGTATATCACTGTACATCGGAACATAATTGTTATCGTTTTCATGACAAAGAAGCTTGACACACTAATGTTTGAGGTATTTAGCAAGAGTTGAAGTTGCCCTAACCCAAAACAAGTTATTGAGAATATATGGCATACAAATCTTTGTTAAATCTAAAAAAAGTTTCAAAAAGAATTTTTTTAGGATGACATCTTATGATGTCTACATCCTACTCTCAGGGTGTGGTCATCCTGTTGGTATCTCACGTCTTAGATGCCGTCGGACGTCACTTGATACATTTTCCAGGGTCTCGGCATCTTGGATGCCACCTTCAGAGCTCCTTATGGAAGTGATAAGAACTGTTAAACTACCCGGTATAAGAGGCCGATGCATAAAAAAAGGCCATCTGCAAGGGGCTTGTCTCTATTTTACAAAACGAAAAGCATATGCAATTATGATAATGACATTTTAACGAGCATAATTGCATAGTTAAAAAGCGTGTTTCTAATTATCAAATGTGCAAATGTGCAACGCAAAAAAGTGCAGCAAATTACACTCTAAAAGTCCCGGGTCAGAATTGACCCGGAAAAGGGTAATGTGGGGCCTGACCCTTTTCCAGGTCACAAATGACACTTTTCTGGGTAAAAATGACCCGGAAATTGAGTAACACAGTGAACTTTTGACCCAGGAAAGTATAATTTTTTACCCTGAAAAGGGTCAGGCCCCACATGACCCTTTTCCGGGTCAATTCTGACCCGGGACTTTTTAGAGTGTAGACCTAGATTTGACTAAAACATCTTAAAATTTAAACAAGCTTAAAGTTGCTGTACCAATACTCTTTAACATATTCGATATGTTTTTCTCCGGAATATTCAATTTGTGTGTTTTATTTAAACGGGAAAAAAACCCCCTTTTTTTCAATTTTGGAGTTTTAAGGCAAACGTTTCTGCATATAACGCACAAAAGATGCGCTTAAATAATGCCAGGTCGAAAGTTAATTCGAAAATTGGTAGATATATATTCCGTATAAATTGAACGTGGGCGGATCGTTTTGTTAGATGTCTCATTCAAAAATGAATAGGGCCTAACTTTTGTATTGCTCTTAAATTACAAAATTAAACACGAATTCTTTTTTGGGGGTGAAACTCGAGAAAAAAACACGGGGAGCGGAGAGCTACTTTAAGGCCACTTTTAAATCCCAAAGGAAAGCACCTGTTATGCATTCCTTGTGTTCAATACATCGTCACCGGCACCACGAAGTAACACTCTACCGTGTTAAACCATATTTTTTTCGATTTTCAGTTTTTTGGATTTTTAAACATTTTTCATCAAGGCCTATCATTGCAAGAAGTTTCAAAGCTTCAAGAGCTTTACTTTAATAATTACGCTAAGTATCCATGGCAACTTTTGCGCAAAAGTGACAACTTTCGTTTTCACGAAGTAACACTCAAGTTCCATTTACCATTGCAATGCATGGCGCGCACTATGCTTACAAGTGAGCAAAAACGTTTTCACGAAGTAACACTCTTCTTGTAATAAGTTGTACATGAGCGGGCGCGCGCTGACCTGAAGTTGCACTTTCCTCGTGTTGTATACATTGCAGAGTGTTACTTCGTGAAAACGAAAATTTACAGTTTCGCAGCTTTTTCGGTTTCACGAACTAACACTCATCTATTTTCTCATTTCTTGTTTATTTAATACACAAACGGGTGAAAAACAGCAGATTTAATGAATTCAGTTCATCAAGTGTCCACAACGAGAAACCCAACTGAAAATACTGTGTCGTTTTGGCGCAAAGTGTTGTTTTACAAGGCGTTCAACTTTAGATACCGTTTTCTCCGATTGCTAGTTTTTACCGGTATGTACATGAGTATTACTTCGTGGTGTCGGTGACGACATTTTTCGAGGGGTAATTTGCGCAGGTGTTGTTAAAGCTTGTATAATGTTCTAATCCTCCTGACGAATTTTAAAGCTTGTGTTTTATTTAAAACAAAAAACCCCCAAAACACCGACAAACTAGACTGGTTTGCTGTCCCCGCATTATCAATTCTGAAAATTGGCGGGAACAAGTCTACCTTACAAAAACTGAATTACTGTCGGTCCGCAAATAATTTAAACTTTTATAAAGTAGGCCTACCTTTTAATAACATGGGCCGATTATTTGTTTGTGTAAATTTTTCATTCAAATGTGAATAATATTGTATTGATTGAAATATAGCAATTTATAGATGTACTGTCCTAGCTCTCTAACGAAATGTTAACTTGTAATTTTGTTTGTTAACCCCAAACCTTTTTTTTCTACTTTGGGCGTGTGTAATCATTCTGAACAAAAACTTTATTTAATGGATTTGCGCACAAAAGGGAACTATGTAATTTATTGAGGGTGAAACTCAAAAATAGCACAGACAATTTAAAAATTAAATTAGAAACGTGATTTAACGAAATTTGGGAAATGGACATTCCAGAAATGCTTGGCAAGGTTTTCAATTCTCGTGAAATTTCGACTTAAAGCTTCTGCAAGTAGGACGTACCCCAAGTGGCGTAACTTGCAGCGGAGGCATTAATTGTAGGGGACTCTTTTTTTTGAGGGGGCACTGACTTTGTTCACTTTAAAAAAGCTAAGGACACAGGAGGAGGGGGATGGGGGGGGGGGGGGGGGGCGGGGGGGGGGGGGAGGCAGGCCTCAAGTGGAAGTCCCGTGCCTCCATGTCCCGCCCCTGGTTACACACCTATGTTCCGACACCCCTATGTTCCGACACCCTTATGTTCCGACTGTACTCAGCGTATTATTCCGACACCCCTGTGTTTCGACATGCCTATGTTTCGACACCCCTTTGTTCCGACACCCCTATGTTCCGATTGCTCAAACCTACGTATGTTCCGACACCTCCAGGTTCCGACACCCCTACAAACGTAAACATAGGCTGGTCTCTGGCCCCAACGCTCCAGTCTAAACGGGCTATTAACACAGTATTATGTGCGGGTTGTCGGAACATAGGGGTGTCGGAACATAGGGGTGTCGGAACATAGGGGTGTCGGAACATAGGGCTGTCGGAACATAGGTGTGTCGGAAGAAATATGATAATAGAAATATAGGCCTCAGGCTCACTGACAGGTGTGATAGACGACCCAAGTTTGGGCTCTGCCATAAGCGCCGAAGCCGATGAACCTGGTGGGATTGGGCGGGGTGGTTGTCCACTGCAAGTACGCCTGCTCCTGGTATTTGCCCAGCTTGAAGGTGCCTCTGTCGTAGTGCAGCCAGAAGCGACGAAACTCCGTCTCGCTAATGTCGCCCGTTGATGGCACCCCCTTCAGTACGTTGCAAGTCAGGCACCTTCGGATGATGGTTCTGCTGCCTACTCCAAAAACTGTTAGTGTACATCCGGGAAAAAAACACCCCGATTTTTAAATCTCCTTTCAAGAAAGTAATAAATAATAGAAATGTAAGTGGACATTTGAATGAAAATGAAAATGCGTACCTTTTATTTGGCCTTTTGAGATTATGGTGGAAACAATATAGAAGACTTTATTTGGTTTGGGTAAACCGCATGAACCGTATCTACTAAAACCAAATAGCGCCCTCCTATTCGCCCTTTTCACGCTCCGCCATTGGCATGCAGAGCCTCGATCTGGCAACTTTACACAATAAAAATAGCCGGCTTAGTGATCTGAACCCCGACACGGGAATCACTGAACCGGCTTTATTTTATTGTGTAAAGTTGCCAGATCGAGGCTCTACATGCCTATGGCGGAAGCGTGAAAAGAGTGAATCGTGTCCACCATATTTCAAAAAGGCTAATAACAACGGTGACGAGTCCAATATTGAGTTTTCATATAAACAGACGCCTTTAGATGCCTTTTTTTCTTTTGTTCACGAGCCGCCGTCGGCGCGCTGCCGGTGTAGTTATACGACTAATAACGCGCGCTACTGGAATAGGCTCTGTTTGAACTGCGTCACTGAGTAGATAATAAGGGGGCCACAGAACGAATCACGTCCAAACACAATTAAGATTTTATTGAACGAGAGGACCAACTTTAAGCCCGCCGCACACGAGAGCTACGTGCTGAGCAAAAAGTCATTGAGCCCGTTTGCGCAGCAGTAGCTCAGAAAATATCACCATGTGCGGTCAGTTTTTGCCGCATTTTCTACCTCGCGAGGCCTGGAGGCAAATATCTATCAAGTTTGATCTCTTTCGCCTCGCGAGGCGAAAACTCACCGTGTTCGCGCGGGCAAAAACTCACCGTGTGCGGGCAACCTGAGCTAGTATACGCGCCGAGCCAAAAAGCATAACTAGCCAATAAAAGCACATATTCTGTTTACGCGATTTCAAGATCGCAGCCCCCAACGAAAGTGTCAGCGACGTTGTCAGCGACCATATTCTAGAGGACAAGCTGGTTAGTTTGTGGCCAGATTATCCTTGTTTGTCGGTCGCATGATTTCAAAAATAGGGACGAACGCCAGCAGGCTTTAGAGGAAATTGCAAAAGAATATCTCGAAATCACGTGAACAGACTCAATAGAGTATATGTGCTTTCATTGACTAGTTAATTTTTTTTTGGCTTAGCACGTAATTCAGGTTGCCCGCACACGGTGAGTTTTCGGGTCTCACGCCGCGACTACTAGAATGTTACCCTAGACACCGCATACAAACATAAACACTGATTTAAAGCACAGCCAGGCACCAGATTATTCCTAATTTGCATTCATGTGAACGATTTTTTTAACATGCAAATGATCCTATACAAGGGTGAGAGCTAGACAGCCTGTAGTGCTAGCTAGACGCCTTGAGAACGAGGTTGTGTCAGTTTGTTCCCCAAAATGGCGTCGTTAAAGGGCGCCATCATTAGTTTGTCAATAACCCATTTGTTTGCTTACCCAGTTCGTATACAAGGCCCGGCAGCTCTCCCGAGCCATCGTTCGAGAACAGGACCATGGCAGCATTCCTGGCCTTGACAGCGAAGTCCAACACGACCTCATCCCCGTCAAAGGCAGGCAATGGGAACTTGCGCTGATACGGGCTGAGCTGGTAAGTGGTGCTGCACACTGTGAATTAATACAATATAAGATAGAGATTTCACTCGGCACGGTAAAAATCAGACTGGAACATCGAGTGCTGAAAAACATGCAACACGAAATCAGGCCAACTTTACTCACTCTTTTTATAGCCAGCAAAATTCTCCAAAATTTTCATTGGGCGACGAAAAGGTCCTCAGTATTTCACCAACCAAGTTTGAAGACTCAAGTTTGAAGACTCAATTTTTAAAGGAGACTTTTCTTCAATATTTTGCACATGAGATGGAAGTCAAGTGATTTCAAAATGAGGCTAAAGACTAGACTGGTACATGTCCAACCATGGTCCAACTGTTTGAAAAGACTGCACCTCTACATTGTCATTAGTGCGCTGACTATGGAGAAATGTGTAGAGAAAGAGACTATAGTACCAGACATGCCAGATGTTTCTTTTGGCACAGTTTTGTTGATTGATGCAGCACTGAAATTGATTGTTGGATTGGTTGTTGATCAGGTGCCAGTCTATTGTCTTGTATATTGCACGTTTTCAATACCTTAAGTTTTAGAATTCTCATACACAGTATTGAGAGTCCCAAATTTTCGGACCAGGTAAAAATAATGTGATGTTCCCTGTCAAAATAAAACCTGACTTTTCTTGATAGCTAGTCGAAAGTAGGTTTTGCCAGATGTTGATTAAATATGGCCTTACCCCGTTACAAACTTCCACTGGCAAAATGTATGCCCATGTCAATTTTGTGAGGTTGCCAAATTTAGGATAAAGAAATATTTGGGTAATGCATTTCTTTGATAGACCTTTCTAAGGGTACGCCATCTTGAAAATCAAAGCGAGGCATAACGCTAACAAACATGGCGGCCTGAATAGTGTGCCACGGTGAACGAGTAACTCTCGTAAAGTTACAGTAGATTGACAATCTTATAAATGGATGGATAGCTCAAATTCTCCCGAAAATCCATCCGTACTAGTCGGTATAGGTCATATCTCATTGTATTTTGAAGAAGGATCTCATAATATAAAGCCTAAAACCAGTGGCTGAACTGAAATTTCCGTCTAGTATAAGCCGAGGCACCGCCGTCAACGCCAGAGACCTTTTTATATTCACTTTTTTTTCTGAGCTGAAATTGCATTTGTTTGTTAGGAAGTATTTACACTATGAGGCTATCCGTGAATTGTCATTCGCACAGGACCCATTATTTCCCAGAAATAAGCGGAACGGGAGCCCGATACGAACCGTTGAAAAAAATGCCCTTCCATGAAGAAACTTCTCAACGGTCGTGCACTGTTCCCCAACTCGTTTACGTACAAAATCTTCTTCTTGCGTGTGGAACCAAAACAAAGCGGTAGTTAGATCTCAGTGGGTGCTTGCTGAGAAGCTACTCTCGGGTTGCTGCATCTGCATCAACATCGATTAGGCCATGGTACTCATTTGGGGGGCGATAGAGGGGGCACTCGGAGATGATGCGGTCAACAGTCTGCTGCTCCGCTCCACATTCGCAAGCTGGACTCTGGGATAGGCCCCACCTCCACATGTCAGCATTGAAACGCCCGACTCATGTGCGGAGCCTGTTTAGTTTAACCCATGTCTGTCGTGGGAGATCAGACCCTGGGCAGCTTCTGGATGGTACAGGAATGTATCTATGCAGATGGTTAGGGGATGACTGCCACTTCTGTGTCCACATCCTGGCCATCCAGTGGGCCTTTGACTCAGTGGGTTGGATAGTTGACAATAGATCCTTTCCACTTGAGGCAAAGGGGCGCCGGAATTTGAGTCTGGGTTATGTCTGTTCCCTATGGTGGCCCTGAAGGGACATCGCATATCGCAAACGTGTGCGCATACGTATGCGATGTCGCGAAATTTATCGCGAATGTGTGCGCACACGTATGCGATGTCGCAAAATTTATCGCGAATATGTGCGCACACGTATGCGATGTCGCGAAATTTATCGCGAATATATGCGCACACGTATACGATGTCGTGAAATGTCGTGAAGTTTCAAACTTGCGTGCGCAAATTTCAAAGTTGCGCAAGTAGCAAGTTTGCGCTCGACAGTACTAGTAGTAACGATTGCACGAGGAACAGCGTGCGCGCGAAGGTTTATTAGTCAGACCCTATTTATATCTAACAGTACGTCTAGATTCCAGACTAGCTGCTACAACTCCCCAGTTCATTAGGAATTTTACTGAAAGGTATGCGACAAGGTATGCAATAAAATTCACGACATTGCAAAAAAATTCGCATACGTGTGCGCACATATTCGCGAATTGTTTCACGACATCGCATACGTGTGCGCACATATTCGCGATTAATTTCACGACATCGCATACGTGTGCGCATATATTCGCGATAAATTTCGCGACATCGCATACGTGTGCGCACATATTCGCGATAAATTTCGCGAGATCGCATACGTGTGCGCACATATTCGCGATAAATTTTGCGACATCGCATACGTGTGCGCACACATTCGCGATAAATTTCGCGACATCGCATACGTATGCGCACACGTTTGCGATATGCGATGTCCCTTCAGGGCCACCATAGTTCCCTGCTGATAGCTTGGTGGAGGAGGTGATATGGATACATGGCGCGTCGGGCCAGCGCCATGCTTGCTGCCTGCCTACGGAGCTCAGCTGGTGGGATGCCTGCAAGCACAGGGAGCTGCTCAACTGGTGTAGGGTAGCAGACCAGTAAATAAACTTCCATAGACCCCAATGGTAAATGCTCCCACTTCAAAAATTCGGGAAAAATACTCCCAACTCTCCAAGGTGTTCGAGACACACATCAAATTAAAGCTTATTTCATCATCTTTCATTTTCATTTCAATTTTCGGGGGGTCAACTTATAACTTTTAGGAGAAATTTCAATCTGAAGATGATCACCCCTGAAAATAGTCCTGAAGCCCATCGCCATTTTGAAAAACGATGCCTACACTCCATTGCAAAATAGAGCGCTTTTAGGGTCCAAATTACATCAAAATTACACAGAACTGCAAGCTCCCAGTCCTGTGCACGGCTTCCACCCATATTTTTTACAATCCCTCAAGTTCATGGCCCACAGCATGCTCAAATACCGAAGATTTTGAGGGCATGCAAATCGTGATTTGGCCGGCGCAGGCAATTTCGGACCGATTTACTGGTCTGCACCCTATAGAGAAGCGAGGTTTTGAAAATTTTCCCCAAACCACTTGTACGGCACGAGGAAGGATGGATGACTCATATTTCATCAAAAAATTGCAAGAAAAAACATCTCTGACTGCGATTTCTGGCCTGAAAACAAGCCCTCTGTTTGCGGCTACCTTACTGCAGGGCGCCCTCAACGGGCGTTAATTGAGTTTTTGCTCCTTCCGACCCCAATTTACCCCCCCCCCCCGTTCGAAATTGCTGTGATCGGACGACGGTCCATCGGCCCTATTCAGATTTTGGGCGCATTTGTTGCGGAACCGCCATTGGTGACCCCTTTTGAAACGCTGCCCCCCCCCCAGGTTCCGCCCCCCTGAAAAAAATAACACTCCGCAAACATTTGTCAACAAACGATGGAAGGCGCCATTTTGAAACTATACTATAGGTAGCAGACCAGTAAATAAACTTCCATAGACCCCAATGGTAAATGCTCCCACTTCAAAAATTCGGGAAAAATACTCTCAACTCTCCAAGGTGTTCGAGACACATATCAAATTAAAGCTTATTTCATCATCTTTCATTTTCATTTCAATTTTCGGGGGGTCAACTGATGACTTTTAGGAGAAATTTCAATCTGAAGATGATCACCCCTGAAAATAGTCCTGAAGCCCATCGCCATTTTGAAAAACGATGCCTACACTCCATTGCAAAATAGAGCGCTTTTAGGGTCCAAATTACATCAAAATTACACAGAACTGCAAGCTCCCAGTCCTGTGCACGGCTTCCACCCATATTTTTTACAATCCCTCAAGTTCATGGCCCACAGCATGCTCAAATACCGAAGATTTTGAGGGCATGCAAATCGTGATTTGGCCGGCGCAGGCAATTTCGGACCGATTTACTGGTCTGCACCCGTAGGTTGTAAGCATCCAGTACAGAATGATACGAGCCTTTGAGACACCAGTGTATTAGTCTCGAAGGCCCGGATCATTTTTCACGTAAACGAGTCGGGGTACAGTGCACGACTACTGAGAATTATCTGCATGGAGGAGAATTATTCATGTTCGTATCGGGCTCCAGTTCCTCTTAATTACAGGTCCTGTGCGAATGACAGTTCGTGGATAGCCTTATAATTTAAGTACTTCCTCCACAAAAATGCAATTTCAGCTCAGAAAATTAACACAACGGATTAAAAAAGATATTGATAGAAAGTCTGACGTTGACAGCGGTGCTGCGGCTTAACTACTACCCGGAAATTTCAGTTCTGCCACTGCTTTAAGGCTTTATATTTATAAGACCCTTCTTCAAAATGCAATGAGACATGACCTACCTAAAATACGGATTGGTGTTTCTGGAGAATTTGAGCTATGCATCAATATAAGATTGTCAATCTGCTGTATTTTTTGCGAGAGTCAGTCGTTCACCGTGGCACGCGGCGGCCATGTTTGGATTGCGTTATTTGCCTCGCTTTGATTTTCAAGATGGCGTACCCCGAAAAAGGTCTATCGGCACTACTCTACACATCATACAAAAAAAAATCATCATCGGAGGCAAAGTTACGGTCTTAAACTGCTACAGTAATATTTAACATTGTTTAATGATCACCATTTAAAAAAAAAAAAAAAAAAAAAATGCTGGAAAATATAAAAAGAAAAAAAAACCACCATGCAGTCACATCGATTCTCTCCAGATGCGTCTGTTTCAACGTTTCTAATTTTAAAGGCACGTAGAAATATCGGTAATTACCTGGAAACGGAAACGAACCTGCCGAATTAATGAGAAAAACCTCGCTCAAATTGAAGATAGGTCTGCGCTACTAAATGCTATACCCTGTGAAATTATTCCGCCTGACTCGTTGGGAAGCAAGGGCGTAAATCCCGGGGTGTGGGAGTGT